CCCCATTGCCTAGTGTCTGGAGATTCGCCTCCTGCCTTTATCACTAGGTATGTGTGTCCTCTTAGTTTAGAATGTGTAGAGTAACTGATGCCTGTTTGGAGAGTAAGCTGAAAGAAGCAGACACTGTCCACCTGACAGTAGCACAATATGAGTACAGAAAGGCCATCTCAGCCAAATTTATGCTGTAGCTGACATTAGCTTTTTCTCAGCAGTAGATTCATCATCTCTGCTTTTTAACCTCCCCCTCCTCACTTTAAAATGCAGATTCAGTGTTGGTTGAAATAAATTCTGAAATAACTAAGAAACCTAAAAGTCTTCCATTATCCCAAAACCTTTATGGCAAAAGTTTTCTTCAGAGATCCTTCTGCTGGTTTGCAAACATTGTTCGCTCTTCAGGCCACCTTTGAGTGCTGGGTTCTCCTGCCCTGCCTGCAGTACTGCTAGTTACTGCTGCCTGGGACCTGGAGAGAAGTCACCTCCTCCCTTGAGGTAGGCAAAAAAAAGCATTGGAAGAACAATGTCTGTGGGGCCCTGCCAAGCTGTGCTGGCATTCAGGTAGCTGGAACTGGCTGTGTTCCATTACAAGGGAGCCACTGGGTTCATCTCGGTTCTATAATCATCTCCATTGTAATCCAATAAAGCCTTGGGAAGGTTCTTAAAGAGCTTTTTGTTTATAAGGGAAACAAAGGTTGATATGAAAAGACTCCCAATCCTAATATTGCATAGCTGACCAAAATCGTGTTTGATCTTGCTTTGTGGAATTTAATGTTTTCATAACAGTTTTGTTATTAGTATGTAAATTGACTACATATCTGGCTGTAATTTTGAGACATTAATGTAAGTGCTGTCAAATCTCATTGTAGAAAGGTCCTTTGTAAATGCACTGTTACATGCATAGAGATTTGGAATGTGACTGAATCCCAGTAGGCCTAGCCTGGCCAATGGAGCTAGAGCAGGGCTTGAGAACTGTGCACTGTCTCCGTAACATCAGGATCCCAAACAATGAACAAATCTGCCCTGTACAGGACTCAGCTCATACTGTGGTACTAAGATCTGACTTCATCTGCTCATGTATTGTGGTAGGAGTTTTCCCACGGTTAATATTTTTCTGTATTATTATGAAAATTGCTTTTAAAGGGAATTGAGAGGTAAATTCATGCATTCATGTGTGCAGGTATAATTTTCTTTTCAGAATTTAATGTGTTGGGCAGTAGGCTTGAAACTGATGTAAAAAGGATGAAGGTAACCATTTCTGAATGCACTGGCTTCAAGCTGGCTATTTAATTCCACTGGAATGTACCCTACTAAGTAGCCTGACTTTTTTCTGTCCTCATTCCTTTTTTTCAGAGCACCTTGCATCCCTCTGTTCCTAATGAAGGTGGTCTGAGCAGCTGTGTGTTCAACACTCAAGAAAATCAGGCCATTCACTTAAAGACTTAATTATGGGTTTGGGACCCTAATCTGAGGCACCTAATTTTTGAAATCTTGGTTGTAGGCATTTTATTCAGGAATATCTCTATCCTGCTAAATGAAAACACCACTTAAAGATAAGCAGGTCTGCGAGTACTTCTTAATCTTCACTCTCTTGCAGCTGTTAACTTCTTCATAGCTTTTTGCCT